TACCATCTGGCTTCTCTCATCCTAACTATCCAGATTAGCTTTCTTTTTAGCATGATTCTACAGGTGATAGTCTTTAAATTTTTCTGTTTTCATAGATTTTACTTACATGTTAAAGATTCTATAATATATAGTTACAGTTTTTGATGACCTAGTCAACCAGCCATTAAAAGATTTAAATAACAAAAAATTACACTTTTCTTTGGTTACCATTCTTGGTGCTTTTCAAATTATCATCTGCTGTCATTTTTCTTCTTTCTGGAGACCTTAGGATCATTTCTGGTTTTGTGAAAGTAATAATGATGTGTTCTTTCAGCTCTTGTATGTCTGGAAGGAATTCCGTATTACCTTTTGAAGTCTCATTTTTCTGAGTACTGAATTTTAGGTTGAATGTTATTTTACATTATTTTCAAGATTTGCTTCTTTTCCCCTCAAGAGTCATCCCATCCCTCCTCCTTGCCTCCTGTTTTCTTTTCTTTCTTCCCTTCCTTTCTTTTTTCTCTCTGTCTCTTTGTTTCTTTCTCTCTCTCTTTTCTCTCTCTCTCTCTCTCTTTCTTTCTTTCTTTCTCTCTCTCTCTTTCTTTCCTTCCTTCTTTCTTCTTTCTCTCCCTCCATCCCTCTTTCTCTATTTCTGAATCCTTTCTCTTTTTCTTTGTTTTGAAATTTGACCAGGCTTATTAATCTGAGGAAACTAGATTGACTTTTTTTTTAGACACAGCATCCATGTAAAATTATTTTTTGACTAATAAGAGACACTCTTCTTTACTATATTCACTGACTTTTAGACTTGAGTTACTAAGTTGACCCTACAGCTACTAACTTGACTCCAGTATATTTTCTACTCAAGAAACTACACTCTATGTGATGGTATTTTTTGCCTCCTGATACATGTCAGCTACTTTACAGTCCATGGTCTGCACAATTTCCTTCCCTTTTCTCATTGACTTGCATGGGCCCCTGTAGGCCAGCCCACCTGCCCAGATTTTATAGACAAGGGCTTTTCAGTGAGAACTGAACTGTATCAGGCAGCAGGGTCAGCAAGATGGTCTCCCAGACCCAGGTCCTCATAGCTCTCTTCCTGGGAGTCTCTGGTAAGAAATTAAATATTGAAATCTCTTTAGAGTGATATTTGTATAGCTGAAAAAGCTCTTTTAAGGTGTTATAGGATAAAAACTATTCCCAATATGGATCTAATTATGTGATGACTTCTGATATCATTTTAAAATGAATTTTAGATGAGCAATTGCAATGTGTGTATGATAAAATGTTTGCATTTGCGTGGGTGTGCGCATGTGTGTGCATGTGTTTGTGTGTGTGGGTGGATGATCCTCTCTATTTCTGGTTGCAGGGACCTATGGAGATATCATGGTGACCCAGTGTCCAGGCTCTCTGACTGCAGCTGTAGGAGACACAGTTACCATCAACTGCAAGTCCAGCCAGAGTCTTTTCTGGAGCAACAACAGTAGGAACTACTCAGGCTGGTTCCAGCAGAAACCAGAACAGGCTCCCAGGCAGCTCATCTCCCGGGCCTCCACCCGGGCTTCAGGGGTCCCAGACCGGTTCAGTGGCAGTAGTTCTGGGTCAGACTTCACTCTCACCATAAAGAACCTCCAACAGCACATGCGGGCAGTTATTACTGTGAGCAGTGGTATGACTTCCCTCCCACAGAGGTGGAGCCTCCAACATAAACCTGCCCAGGTCACGGGTCAGTGAGCCCTGCTGCACCAGCTGCTTCCTCCTGAGTTTTTAGATCTGACATTTGCAAGGGAGATTTTCCCTAGGGCACACTTAGAAAGTCCCCGGTTTAGTCACATGGGAAGAGCCAAGGCCAGGATTATAGGCCTCTTACATGAGCCGAGTAAGATAAAATAAGTTCCGTATTAGGAGGAAAACCAAAAGAGAGAAACTCCCTGCTATCTGCAGCAGCGGTTAGAAAGATCCCAATCCGAAAACCCGGAGCTGTGTAGGGGCCGGTGTGCATGTGACCCTCCTGCCCAAGAGATCCTAGGATGTACTTGTATTTGTCCAGATCGGTGTCTGGCAGGACCAAAGACACCTTGCTTAGCTCCCTCAGTGCTAATGAGAGAAAGAAACAACTTCACAAATAATAATCCTCAGAGTTTTCTATCTTTAACATGATTGAGTGGAGTTAGTTAACAGCTTCTGCACCTGAGCTTACCAAGGGAACTACGAGAATGTTAGGAACAAGTGTTAGATAAAATCTTTTCCCCAGACCTAGTGATTAGACCCCTTAAGGGTGCTCAAGTCAAAAGAACTGTGAGGTGGAACTACCTGTCTTTTTCGTCTACAGAGAACTATAATTTACATAGTAAATATGAACTTTTTGGTAACTACATTTTAAACTGGTGCAAGGCTAAGCTTCTGTCTTTCTCTACATATAAGATGAATCAAAACATTTCTTAAGGCACAAACTTCTTTGATATTGCATAGAATGAGCAGGGGACAATTTTATGTTCATGTATTTCTGAATAAAAATCTAAAACTCCTTCCCAAATTCTTCTTTCTGTGGATATTGGGCCCCCACCATCATCTGTCCACAGAGTAAAAGGAGATGCCGTACATAAAAAAAGCCAGAATGAGCCAAGGTTTTTAATATCTCAGGGTAATTCGGACCTATGGCTGACATCCTCCTAGGCCTCCTTCTAAGACGGGCTCTATGGGAATGTGGGCTGGGTCAGAGGTGCTGAGGAACTTTCATTCCAGACCTCTTGCCTCTTGTGCTATAAGAAGATAAGCCTGTGTTGTTTTCAGTCAGTCAGTTTATAATATTTTTATGGTAGCCCAAGCAATCTCACATACCCACTGCCTACTGTGGCCACTAGCATATTGTGGTTTGTGGGAAAATGAGGAACTAAGTACTCAGTTTTCTTTTATGACAAATAAAAGATTATGGCTATTTTTATCTTCTGTGTCTATATGTTCTCTAAACACTGAGAATGTTAGGAACAAATGTTAGATAGGGTCCTTTCTGGGATCTAGCGAGTTGACTGAAGTCAAAAGAAGTTGGATAGTAGCAAAATCTGCCTCATCTAGAGAGAGGCAGATATATTTGCATGTCTGATTGTCCTAGATATTTAAGACCCTCTTCTCCATCTGCTTCACTTGAAGAAGCACTAATAAGTGAAATGCAAGAAAATAAATTTGATTTCTTCAGAGCAGAAACAAAGCCACATTCTGAATTTAAACCAAGAGCTGGAGGCTATGACAACTTGTTAGGAGAGAATGCAGACAGTTCCCCTCATCCTTTGTTTTCTTGCCCAGGGAAATTAGCAACTTCCTCAATGCACATACTATTTCTCTCCCTCATACGATGGTATCCTAGCAGTCATGTGCAATTTTTGAATTGGATTTCAAGAATTTATTTTAATAATTTTCTATATAAAAATGCAAAAATTATTTAAGGAAAATATAGGGTGAGATCAAATTGTTTAAGTGGAAAAATAAATACATATTTGATGGTCAAAAGTATTTCTGGCTTGCTGTTCAAACTTCAAGATCAATTAAAAGTTTGTATTGGGTATGAAATACCCTGAGATTTCAGTTATATCCAGTTGATTAATCTTGTTTTAATTTTTTAGCTTCCTGTCCTTTGAATATATCTATTATTGAATATATCATTTATTTGATATATCAAATAAATAAAACATACCTATTTATTTGAATGTATCTACTTTGAATATATCTATTTATTCTAAATTATAATACATTTATAAATTGTATTTCTAAAACTGTTGTCATGATTGCCAATGTGATACCTAGAGCAAATTCATTGCTGCTTTATTTCTATTATTTTTCATTCATAGTCAGATTATCTTTTTGCTTTGGGATGCCCTGAATCTTAATTTGGGGCCTGCTTACCCTTGAAAAGTTAATTGTAAGATTTCTTGAAGAATTAAGATGCTAGTGTCTTCCTTCAGGGAGGTTTTAATTTGGTATGTAATCACTGGAAATTCTATCTTGAACTAATTTCATGATCCTCAATTTCTATGTTCTCTAAAGCAGGTGTTTTTATAGTCAAAAACTTTGGCAGTGATGCTGGGCAGTCATAATTTCCAATTAAATTTTATTTTTTCTATCTCCATTTCCCAATTTACTTTGATCTCTCATTTCAGGTCCTAGTAGTTGTGGAAAGGAGAATTGTCTGTTTGTCTTTGATTTACACTTACATGGAGTCCTGCTGGCCCCTAGCTTAAATTAGGGGCCCCTAGGATTCCACCTAGGGTGAATTCTGTGTCTGTTTTCTGGCTCAGTGGCCCACGCATGGGGAGAAACCAGCTGAACTATGTCCTGTGTTCAGCTTCAGAATAAATGTGACTTGGAAAACAGACATTTTTTTGGTCATAGAAAATATAAATTTGTTTAGAAGTTGTTTTGATTTTGCCTTTCCATTTTTTCTCCTCTCTTTCCCCCTTTCTCCTTTGTTTTTTTATCTCCTTGTTTTTTTCTAGCACATTTTATTTTGTCACTGTGTTGATATGAAGTACCTAGCTTATTATTCTTGTAATATACAATCCTTTTGAATTTTTTTTTTTTTTTAGACTAAAGTCCTTACTGAGACCATGTAGAGGTTTGTAATTTTAGAGCATCTAAAATGATCTCAGATATCGGGTGTGCTGGCTCAAGCCTGTAATCCCAGCACTCGGTAAGCTGAGGTAGGAGGATGTTTGTGAGTTCAAGACCAACCTGGATTACAGAGTGAGCTCAAGGCCAGCCTGAACTGCATAACAAAACCGTGTCTCAAAAAGATTAAAAAAAAAAAAAATGATCTCTGAGTTTCTGAATTCACTACTGTGTTTTTGTTGTCACCCAGGTACACTATCCACACCAGTGTTTTTGGCTCTTGATTTAATGAGTTACTTTCATAACTCACTGCCTGGGCAATTTGCTTCCTTATTTGCTGATGAATTTTCATAGGTTCCTCCAAGGCCAGCCCAACTTCTCAGACCTTATAAATGAGGTCTTTGCAAGGAGGTCTGAGCTCCACCGGGAAGTCAGGGTCAGCAAGATGATGTTCCTGACCCAGGTCTTCACGTGCCTGTTGCTCTGGGTCTCTGGTGAGAAACTGAACAGTTCCAAAGTCACTTAGAGTAGTATCTTTGTAGAGTTAAAATTATAATTTTAAAATGCAATGAAAAGCAATATGACCCAACTATACTAATTTACAATAGCATTAGCATCAACATTTTAAAGGACTTATTTCATTATTTATAAGATAAAGGGTGTGTGTGTGTCTATGTGTATGATCACTATTTATTCCTGATTGCAGGTGTCTGCAGTGACATTGTGATGACCCAGTCTCCAGGCCCCCTTGCTGTGTCTGCTGGAGAGAGCGCCACCATCCACTGCAAGTCCAGCCAGAGTCTTCAATCTGGCAGTAGCAACTACTTAGCCTGGTACCAGCAGAAAGCAGGACAGCCTCCCAAACTGCTCATCTACAGGGCATCCACCCGGGTATCTGGGATCCCAGACCGGTTCAGTGGCAGTGGGTCTGGGACGGATTTCACTCTCACCATCAGCAGTGTGCAGGCTGAAGATGTGGCCAATTATTACTGTCAGCAACATTATGAGCGCCCTCCCACAGTGATTCAGCCTCGAACATAAACTTCCCCTCAGGGTCTCCCCAGCTGCTTGTACCTCACACGGCCCAGGACTTGAACACTTCCTCTGGCTGCCTGAGAGATTGTGCCCTGCTCTATGCATGAGAGATTTTATAGATCTTAGCAGAAGTTAAAGAGGCACCAGGTCTTGTGGGTCCTTTGCTATAGGAAAATACAGCCAAGATATTTGTATTAGCTTTTTATTCTTTTGTAATAATTTACAAATTCATGGCCTTGAAATGAGAAATTCATTACTTTATACTGTGTAGGACAAAATCCAACACCAGAATCAATGAGCTAAAATCAACATATTTTCAGGCTGTATTCCATTTGTATGCTCTAGGATGGAATCTGTCTCTTGCATTTGCTGTATCTAAAGTTTCCTACATTCCTTGGCTGGTGGCCTTTTCCTCGACCTCCAGAGTGAGGAGCATTTCATTTCTCTGGCACTTGTTCCACAATGACATTTCTCTCTAAATATCCCTATCTGCTTTTCAAATGTGGACAGTAAGAAAATGCACTTTACTGTATTGTTTTGTTTTGTTTTTGTAGTTTTTCTTCCGGTACCAGGAATCAAACTCATGACCTTGCGCTTGCCAGGCAGGTGGTTAAATGTATTTTACTGTAATGATGGATATAATTTTGTATTCAATAACATATACCGTTGTCCTCACATCTTGTATTAACCAACAAAATTCTGTTTGGTGATGGAGAACTTTGTGCCTCTTTGGAAATCAGGTGCTAACTAATCCCATTAATGTGTTCACTTTCAGTAGGAATTGAGCAACTAGTGTGGGTCATAGAGGTACAGGAGGGAGCAAGAGTCTCATACACCATTTATAATTATTTGAGATCCCTGAAGCATCTTCAAGCTGTCTGCATGGAATTTTTTTTGAGACAGGGTCTCACTATATATCTCAAGTTGGCCTTGACTTCACTATGTAGCCCAAACTGGCCTCAGACTTGCAGTGATCCTCCTGCCTAGGTCTCCCGAGTGCTGAGAATATAGGCTGAAAATGGTATTTCCTAACTTTCTTGGTCTACTGATGTCAACAGCATAAACAAATGTACTGAGTACTGCCTATGAACAACATAGCTGGGAAGACATGTGTATGATCTCGACTATATGCTTACTCTTCTGTTTTATTTCCAATCTTAGATACCCATGGAGAAGCTGAGACAACATAGTCTCCAACTTCCCTGTCATTGTCTCCAGGAGAAACAACCACCCTCACTTGCAAGGCTGGCCAGAATGTTGGCAATTACTTGTCCTGGTACCAGCAGAAATCTGGGCAGCCTCCCAGGCTCATCATGTATGGTGCATCTCATCGAGGTTCAGGGTCAGTGGGTCTGGTATAGACTTTATTCTCACCATCAGGAGCCTGGAGCCTGAGGATGTCACAGCTTATTAATGTCAGCCAGTGAATGGATGGTCCTCTACAGTGATCACGTGAAACAAAAACTTCTGTGAGACTATCAGTGAGTTTTGCTTTACCAGCTGCCTCCTTTATGGGTAAGTGCAGTGGTGCCTGCTCAGTTTTAGCATTTCTGTTTGTATTTGGAAATTTAGAAATAATAAATATTAACTTCATGGCAAGATTTTTACTCTAATTTCCAGAGTTTTTCTCAGACTTAGTTGTCCAGCTGGCTCCAGGAAGAATGTTAGTGCTGACACCTGTTCACGCATATGAGTGGATGTCTCTAGGCAACACCATCACAACCAACAAATATCAAAAATTCAAAATGAAGAATTAAAGCTATAACTCACAGAGATTGTGTACAGAGGAAATTCAAAACAATCCACGGAGAGGGCAATAGGATTATGAGAAATGGCAACTCGTTGGATTTATGCTCAATATAAAAAGTCAATCTCATGGGTTTTTTTTTGTTTTATTTTTTTATTTTTATTTTTTTTTACTAACAGATCGACAACATTTTACAAAATAGCAAAGGATCAGTACAGACAATACAGAGTTACAAACAGAGTGGTAGGGAATTAAAAATCCATATTGTATTACATATTGATATCTTCAATGTAGTTTCTCATGAAAACACATATAGACATACAAAGTTAATCAACCAATGCCTCACTGACAGTTTCTTTCAGCA